GAACCCCCCTCCCTTAAGAACCCCTTAAATCGGACTCAAACGGACAACCATGTAGAGAACTGCCCACATGGGCTTGGTCAGGGCATACAGCAGGGGAGCGTGGTAGGGTTCGCAGATTGCTATGTCGCGTCCGCTTGTTTGGAGGGGGACTGGAATCACCGAAGCCCTAACCCTAAAACCAAAAACTCGACAAGCTCCTAAACCCTAAACCCTAAGCCCTAAACCCTAAACCCCTAGACCTAAACCGTAAACCCTAAACCCTCAACCCCCAACCCTAAACCCTAAGAAGCCCCTAAAAACTTTAAGCCCTCGAGCTTAGAAGCGCAAAGGTCTCGGACCTTGGACTGGTACCGTACAACATTCCCACCACGAGCACTACCACTCTGGACCCTGCCATCCGCGAGTTCAACAGGGTGGTGTCTCGACCGTCTTCGCAAGTGTTTGACTTCTGCATCAGACGGTTGTTTTTGTCATTTTGTATATTATCCGTGGACGTTATGTTAAGTCTATTAAGCCTTGTTTTTGGTTCCCGCACAGTCTGCACACTCTGCGCAGGGAAGAGGAATGCGTTGATTGAACTAAGCGCTTGGTGCCCATTTCGAGTCGAAAGCACATGTCGCTGCCGCCTGGGTCCTGCAGGATCTTCCGATTCTTGGCCTCGTCGTCTTCATCGGGAACACCAGCGATTTGGGGCCGTCGCACCTGCCTAGTCGTGCTATCGCCTGTGTCCCGGGATCCAGATCGTGCTCCTGCCGTAGTCCCGTGCACGCTTTGACGCTTGAATCGCCCGGCGCCGCGGACACGTGGCAGGGCCGCGCGACGCAAGCCCTTGGGCTCCTGGACGGGTTGGCTTCTTGCGTTCCTCCTTTAAGGATTTGCTCGCCTCACGGTTGTCCATACTTCCTCAGTCCCGTGCCCGCTCCTCGTGAAGCGCGCCGCTGTCGTTCCTTTCGAGACTTGTTTGGGGTCTGTGCGGGCATCATACCGTAGCTGGCATGTATAAGGTTTCAAAGCAGCAGAACGGCTTTCGAACTTTTTTTACTTCGTATATCACAGCATGCATATAAAACATGCTTATAAACAAAAGGGGGTTCTCATGAGCAGCGAAGGTGAGGCAGCCGAAATACTGCAGGAATGACATTCTTGTGGAGGTGGAGGGGTGGAACCAGTTTGACGAGTACATCCATCAGTCATCGATCTTGGAGGAGGTGTTGCTTTCGATGTTCGTTCGTGGAAATTGGGAACGCCCTAAGCCCCCCCACCCTTAATTCCTCCCTGACCCCGTTTTAGGGATTTAGGGTTTAGGGTTTAGGGTTTAGGGTGAAGAAGCTCAAAGTCCCCAAAGTACTAAGAGGAGCCGCTGAATGGCATCGCTGGTGCCTGGGTGTGGACGACGGAGAGCCTCAGTGATACTTGGGAATGATTTTGCTCTTTTAAATTTTTGGGTACTATAGGTCCTAAGAAGCAGCTAAAGTTTTGACTTTTGCTAGGGTCTAGGGTTTAAAGTTTAGGGTTTAGGGTTTAGGGTTTAGGGTTTAGGGTCCCAAAGTTCAGTTAAGGAACCTCAGACGGGGCAGCAAGACCAAGTTTTTCCTGGGCTGCAACATTTCCAGTGGGAGGCCCGTCCTAATGAGGCCGGGGGCCTCCTCCCAAAGCCTTCAGAAGGGTTTAGGGTTTAGGGTTTAGGGTTTAGGGATCTAAGCAACCTTATAAGTCCTCAATGCCATACAGGACACCCCCCTCCCCCTCCCAAAGTCCTAAACCCTAAGCCCTGAACCCCAAACACTAGACCCTACTAATCCCCAAACTCCGGCCTGTGGGATGCGTGGCTCGTTCTATCGGGTTTATAAGGCACCCCCCCCCCCCCCCCCCCCCAAATTCCCTTCAGGGACGATATGGAGTACCCCTTCCCGCTTTAGGACTTTAGGGTTTAGGGTTGAGGGTTTTTTGGGCTTAGGTTCCCTCGAAGGTCCCTTCAATAAAGGGTCTGCTTGGGTTGTTAAGTTCGCCTAAGGATAGGCGAGTTGAGCGCCTAAGGATAGGCGAGTTGAGCTCAGAACCGGTAGTTGGAAGAGGTTTTCAGGGCTTCCTGAAACCCTCAACTCTATAAATCTCAAGAAGAGCAACCCCCCGAGGCCCCGAGGCCAGAGCCCCGAAGTCCGAAACCCTGCAAAAGTTTAGGGTTTAGGGTTTGGGGTTTGGGGTTTGGGGTTTAGGGTTTGGGTACAAGCACCAATGGCAAAAACCCGAAAATCCCTACCATAACCCTCTGAGCCCCGAAGCCTCGAATCCCAAGAGAGCCCAGAGCCCAGAGCCCCCCCCGCACCCTTCCTAAACCCCAAACCCTAAACCCTAAACCCTTAACCCTAAACCCCAAACCCAAATCCTAACCCCAAACCCCAAACCCGAGACCCTAAGCCCTAAACCCTAAACCCTACACCCCAAACCCCAAACCCTAAACCCTAAACCCTAAACCCTAAACCCTACACCCTAAACCCGAAACCCTAAGCCCTAAACCCTAAACCATAAACCCTAAACCCTCAACCCTAAACCCTCAACCCTAAACCCTAAACCCTCAACCCTAAACCCTAAACCCTAAACCCTAAACCCTAAACCCTACAAGGGAAGCTGTGGGCGACAGCTGGGACTTCGGCATCGTCGAGATCCCGGAAGGTGGCGCAGCGACGCAGTTGTGGGTGCACTTCGGGCAGGACGAGGAGGCGTGGGGGGGTGGGGGGGTTTACGGTTTAGGGTTTAGGGTTTATGGTTTAGGGCTACTAGGGTTGAGAGTTCAGGCTTAGGGTGTCGGGTTTGGGGTTTAGGGTTATCAGGGTTTAGGGCTACTAGGTTTCGGGCTACTAGGGTTTAGGGTTAGGGTTACTAGGGTTACTGGGGTTAAAAGGGCTACTATGGGATACTAGGGCTACTATGGGATACTAGGGTTACTAGGGCTACTATGGGATACTAGGGTTACTAGGGTTACTAGGGTTGCTAGGGTTGCTAGGGTTGAGGGTTTGGGTTCGCCGCAGTCGGGTTGCTAGGGTGTAGCCCAAAGGCTTGGGGTTTTTCGTGCTGGGGGTATGAGTTGTAAACCCTAACCCCTAAACCTTAAACCCTAAACCCTAAACCCTAGCAGATCTACCCTATGAGCCAAAAAAGGACCAGGAGCAAGTGGAGTTTGTCCCGCAGAACCTGTTCCTGATGACTTCGGACGTGCTGCGGAATGGGACCATCATGCTCAAGGACACCTGGCACCGGTGCGTCCCAAAGCCCTAAATCCTAAACCCTAAACCCGAAACCCTAAACCCTAAACCCTAAACCCTAAACCCTAAACCCTAAACCCTAAACCCTGAACCCTGAACCCTGAACCCTGAACCCTGAACCCTGAACCCTAAACCCTAAACCCTAGACCCTAGTAGCCCTAAACCCTGAACCCTAAACCCTGAACCCTGAACCCGCAACCTGAAACGCCCCCAGTTGCCAAGGACGTCTATGGCTTGCGGAAGCACCCAAAGCTCCAGACTGCACCGAACACAAGCTGCACACGGACCGTGGCGCTCGAGATTCGGGGGTCGAGCTTCAATCCCCAGAAGCAGGTCACGTACGAGGCAGGCAGTTAATTGAAGTAGGGTTCAGGGTTTAGGGTTTAGGGTTTAGGGTTTAGGTTGTAGGGTGTAGGGTGTAGGGTTTAGGGTTTAGGGTTTAGGGTTTAATAGGCACAGAGTGGAATTCTAGAGAGCTGAGGTGTCAAAGAGGCTGAAGATCCCTGCGGGGAGATACTCTCGACTGGGGGGCCTGCGTCTCTACTCCGTTGCTTCCAGCCAGGGTGAGGAGATGTATCTGGGACCCCGAATGTGAGCCTAAGCCCTAAACCCTAAACCCTAAACCCTAAACCCTAAACCCTAAACCCTAAACCCTAAACCCTAAACCCGAAACCCTTAATCCTTAACCCTGAACCCTAGGGTCTTGAGGTATTGGCTGCGATGTGATCACGCCACTGGCGAGCCGCTGCTGCTGAAGAGGAACGCCGGCGGCCCTGTGGAGGAGAGGCACTTCGAGCTGCTTGCTGGCCTTCGGTTGTGTTTTGGGGGGTTTAGGGTTTAGGGTTTAGGGTTTAGGGTTTGGGGTTTGGGGGGTTTAGGGTTTAGGGTTTAGGGTTTAGGGTTTCGGGGTGTCGGGGTTGTGAGGGTCCTAGGGGTGTAGGGCGTTCGGGTCGGAGCCGGAAGCCCTGGAGCCTTCAATTCTCCTCGGCTTTCTTCTGGCTGGCTCTTAGGACTTTAACTTTTTGGGTTTTTGTAGAAACTACCCTAAGGAGCCTAAAAGTTAAACATTTTGGAGAGGTTCAGAAGTCAGCCAAGTCTCCCAAACCCGAAAAACCCTGTACACCCTATACGCCCTATACGCCCTATACACCTTATACACCCGATAAACCCCAAACCCTAAACCCTAATTCCCAAAACCTCTACGCCCTAAAGCCTCAAACCCTAAACCCTAAACCCTAAATCCTAAATCCGAAACCCTAAACATCAAGGTTCGGTTCCCGGCGGACCGACTTGCAGCAGGGGGAGCGCCTCGAGCTCTTGGCCGAGGCGGGGGCATGGTTGCTTTGCTTTGCGTTTCGGGCCCAGGGGTGTTAGGGTTTAGGGTTTTGGGTTTAGGGTTTAGGGTGAAACCCTAAGCCCTAAACCCAAAACCCTAAGTTCCTCGGCAGGTTGTGGAGGCCATTTGCCGAGGGGCCCGCGTAAAAGGCTTAGGGTTTAGGGTTTCGGGTCCACGGACTCTGGAAACTGCAGTAGGGAATCTAGTTCGTACAGGGCCCGGGGCTTGGGGAGATCGGGATGAGAATAGCAAAGTGTTAGTGCATGACTGTGGAGCATGCGCCCCTACCCTAAACCATAAACCCTAAACCCTAAACCCTAAACCCCAGACAACCGTGGCCAGAGGCCTCCCTGATGCGGCCGCTGTTGACAGGCTACATCATGGTCTCACCGCAGAAGTGACGACTACAGGCGTAAAGCTTCGCAGCCCTAAACCCTGAACCCTAAATCCTAAACCCTAAACCCTAAACCCTAAACCTCAAAACCCAAGACCTTCAGCTCTCGCTTCTGCGTGGTCTCCTAGCCTCGGGGCTGTTGCAAGACACACAGACTGCTGCTAGATGCAGGAAGCTGCAAAAACAAGAAGGAAGGCAATACAGGGGCCGTAGTTCTTAGAACCGGGCTTGGGAACGATTTGTAGCATGATTTCATAGGGACCATAAGAGAAGAGTTGCTATTCGTAATTGTTCCGACCCTGGAGTCAAGCGGATCATTGCTTGTTGGGCTTCGGCATAAAACGCCACAGACTGGCACGCGGGGATACATGGCAAGATCGTGATGCGTTGAGGTTCAGAGGGCAGGATCAGCCATGGCGCTCACAGGCGACAAAGGGTGCCCTCTCACGTTTCGGTCTGCTTGGCTAAACCATTCCGCAGGTGCCCATCGGCTTTACTTAGACCGCTTTTAGGAATGCTTGCCGGTTTTTTGTTGTCAAGGGGCCAGAATAGCCGCTGTGTTTGAACAGAGGTTCGTGAAAGGACCCTAAAATCAGCTACCATGTCAGCTGCTGAGCCCGCCGCAACTTGAGCCTCAACCACCATCAGCCGAGAGGGGGAAGGGACCCAAAGAAATCCCGAACTGCACCAACCCTGACTCTCCCCCCCTGGAACCCTTCACCGGAACTTTCAGTAAACCCTAAACCCTAAACCCTAAACCCTAACCCCAAACCCTAAACCCTCAACCCTCAACCCTCAACCCTAAACACCCTGAACTCGCCTCTCGTTGTTGGGGAAGTCTGCCATCTTGGCCGAGAGCAAGCCGGCGAGGCTTCGCAAGACTGGATTTTCGGGGGCTTTGGGCTTCTGGCAGGGCTGGGATGATAAATCCTCAGTTTGAAGCTTAGGCCCAAGCTTTAGGGTTTGGGGTTAGGGTTTAGGGCTTAGGGCTTAGGGTTTAGGGCTTCGGGCTTAGGGCTTAGGGCTTAGGGTTGAGGGTTTAGTGTTTAGGGTTTAGGGTTTAGGGGGCCGTGGGTTTTTTCGGCATAGAAGGGGTGTATAGGGGTTCCCCGATCAAGGGCCCATGTTCAGGGACGATGAAACTAGCCAAGGAGTTATGTACTGCTCGTGTGCAGCAAAGAACATCCTCTTGTTCTTCGGGGGGTTGGGGTTTATAGCTTGGGGCAACCCGTCGCCCGACATCTTAATCCCACCCTAAACCCCTACACCTCTAAACCCTAAATCCTAAACCCCTAACCTCTAAACCCTGCGATGGAGCAAGATTTGCTGTCCGGTAATCCCTTGCGCATGCGTCGGAATGAAGATGAGCATCACCAGCTCTTCTTTGGCAGCTCCTGCCCCCGAGTACCCTCCAAAAGACATACTTCTGGTTTGGAGAGTCAGGGTCTACTACCAGGAGTACTTAGGGTGGGGTAGCACAAGATCCCACAGTTTTTTGAGGTCTAAACCTTGCGCAACCTCCACAACCCCCCCTCCCCCCCACCCACCCCCCCAAGCCCTAAACCTCAACCCCAAGCCGAGTCCGATATTGGATAAGGTGCTGTCCAGTTCCCCCTTCTACTAACAGCTCCTTACTGGGGAGTATAATAGCTGTACTAGAATCCCTATTATGTACTGCTAGTATAAGGGGGAACACCCCAAGTCATTCATGTCATTCTCGAAAGTGTGCCTCGCCAGATTTAGCGGAATCGTTGGTAGTGAGATTTCGGGTTTAGGGTTTAGGGTTTAGGGTTTAGAGTTTAGGGTTTCAGGAAGCCCTCCTACAGCAGCGAGCACAGCGTAAGCCTGGTAAGCCTCCAACGACTGAGGGAAGCTTACCCGAATATTTCTCGGTTCTACGGTTTGGGCTTGGGGAGGTTGAGTGTTGTCAGGGATCGACCTCTCTTCACGTGCAAAGGTTTGTTTGTAGTTTGCAACCAGGAGCGAGCCCGATGGCGGTCACGCGGTTGGGCCTGCTCCCCGTGCTTTGCCACGCATGGTATGGCTGGCGCGAGGATGAAACGGGCATCTACGCAGAGCTGCAGATAGCTTCCATGCCATTCAAGTCCAACTTCGCAAGCTTGAAGGATGGGAAGCCCAAGAGAGTCTGGATTGAAGTCGGCGCGCATGTCTGGGAGAATCTGCAGTATGCGCCTCAATTTGACAAGTCTGAGAACGACTTCCTCATATCTTTCGAGCCCCTGCTTGACAAGTATGCCATGTTGTTAAGTGAGTACAAGGCAGACGTAACTGAGCGGCGGCCTCTGGGATTTCAACACCAGCGCGGTCTTGTCTTCCCATTCGCGGTAGGCTGCGAAGCTCGCTATGCTTCTTTTTCCGTGACAAACTACGACATGTGCAGCTCGGTGATGCCTTTGTCGACTGACCGTAGCGGGGCGTGGTGGCCACCGGAATGCACAAACACGCACGACAAGCGCATGGTGCCCTGCATCACGCTACGGCACGTCATCGAGTCGTGGCTATCCGGCCAGGAGGTCTTCTTCTTGAAGATCGACGCGCAGGGCTATGATCTGTCTGTGGTGCAATCCGCCGGGCCTTTTCTACGCAAGGTGGAGCACGTCGAGCTCGAAGGGGCCTGTGACAACGTGCCCGCGCTGTATTCGGGAGCCCCCAACTGCTCCACGGTGTGGAACTTCATGCGCCGTTCGGGATACCACTGCGTGTGGATGCATAATATTCGGACTCCTGAAGTCAAGGAGACGTGTGACCGCAACAAAGGCCCATTCCTCTGTCAAACATGTGATAGAGAGATGAACATGTTTTTCACCCGCCTGCCCTAGTTGGGGACTGTGGCAGAAGCGAGCAGGGGATGCTTTATGGGAGGCTGTGGCTGCAGCGCGAAAGCCCCAAACCCAAGCAGTTTCAGGTCTGAAGTGTCCCGGCTTATATATGTCTTGTTAGAGGCCCTGTATATATAGTAACCGTAAACCCTAAACCCTAAACCCTAAACCCTAAACCCTAAACCCTAAACCCTAAACCCTAAACCCTAAACCCTAAACCCTAAACCCTAAACCCTAAACCCTAAACAGGAAACCCTAAACCCTAAACCCTAAACCCTCAACCCTCAACCCTCAACCCTCAACCCTCAACCCTCAACCCTCAACCCTCAACCCTCAACCTTCAACCCTCAACCCTCAACCCTCAACCCTCAACCCTCTACCCTCTACCCTCTACCCTCAACCCCAAACACTAAACCCTAGACAGTAACAAATGGCCCCTCTCGATAAACAGCAGCTGCTCATCTGCAGCTGACCCTTAGATTGGAGACATCCCCCCCCCCCCCCGTTCCTCCCACCCACCCCTCTAACTCCTGCCGCTTCTTGGGCCTTTTGGGGCGTACAGGAGGGTTCTGGGTGTATAGCCAACCCAAAACCCAAAACCCAAAACCCAAAACCCAAAACCCAAAACCCTAAACCCTAAACCCTAAACCCTAAACCCCAAACCCTAAACCCTTCACCCTAAACCCTAAACCAGGTACTTAAGGATGTTTGGTGAGTCGTAGATCATCATGGGAGCACTTCCCTGCCTTTGCGCTTCAATGCCCAGAGCTTGCTCTACCATACTGCTTCGGGCTGCTTGTCCAGAGAGCCGTTGAGGGTTTAGGGTTTGCGGTTTACGGTTTAGGGTTTAAGGCTACTAGGACCCAGAGTTCACCCGGTGTGCACAAGCAGATTGCGCTCAAAGCTTACAGTAAACCCTAAACCCTAGACGGGTTTGGGCTTCATACTTCATCCCTGGGGGGCCTGAGCATGTACAGCCACCGCGACATATTAGGGTTAGGGCTTAAGTAAGGATCTTCCTTTGCCACTGAATACCAGTCTTCTTGCTGCAGAAGCTAGCGCAAAGATCCTACACCCTAAATCCGAAACCCCAAACCCTAAACCCTAAACCCGAAACCCTAAACCCATGAAGCCTCAAGCTGGACAGGGCTCTCTCCGTGCGATGGCGCTGGGTGTTCCGACCCTCCACCTGAGCTACGCCTTGGTCTTGTTGGCATAGGGCCGGGGTTTAGGTGTCAGCTTTTTTGGGTGTTGGAGGAAACCTAAACCCAAAGTAGGGCTCACGGGGCCGCAAAATTCCTAGCCACCGGACGCTTAGTTTAGGGTAGCCTTCTCGGGCAGAAGCTCTGCTCTCGATGCGTGCCGTGCTTCTCAAAAGCGCACGTTGCTTCGATGCTGCTCATGCCATCGTTTCGGGTTTGACCAGAAATCCCAAACCCCAAGCCCTAACCGCTAAAGGCTAAGCCGTGGCAAGGGTTTAGGGTTTAGGGCTTACTCGAAGGTTCATGGTACTTACGAACCAATCATAACTGTACTTATGATAAGTAGGGTTATAAGCCCAGTTATGATTGGTTAGTAAATACCATGATCCTTCAAGTAGGGGGACCCTCGAGGATATAGACCCTCTGAATAAGGTTTAAGAGAGCCAGAAGAGGGTTCAGAAGGGCTCCCTTTTAAAGGCCCCCCCCCCCCCTTATCCTACCTAGGATACAACCAGTTAAACGCTTATAGGGTGTGGGGTGCAGGGTTTCTGGACGTTGACGTGCATGCATGATGTGGCCCGCGCAAGGTGCGCCCGAATCTGTTGAATTGAGCGCCATACCTATTGAAGCATTTACTTCCTGTTGCCCCCTAAACCCTAAACCCTAAACCCTAAACCCTAAATCCTAAATCCTAAATCCTAGACCCTAAACCCCCTAAACTGTTGCCTTGTTCATACAAGGGATTTCAAGGGAACTGCCATAACTATCGGCGTAGCTCTTTCAAGATATTTGTTGGGCGTTTGTGAGTGACAGTGGAGTCGGGAGATTAGTGCCGAGTCGGGGAACCCTAAACCCTAAACCCCTAACCCCAACGGTGGGGGCGGTCAGGGTGGCGGGGGTGGGGCTGGGTTGGTGCGCCTGGGTTGGCGGATATATCCCCCCATTCCCTGCTAAAACACACACAA